AATTCAAAAAAAGATTAACTAAAACTTTATTATTTTTAGCCAAATAAAAAATTAAGCCTAATTAATCTAATTACNTAGCCAAATAAAAAAATTAGCCTAATTAATCTAATTCTATCCAAGTTTTATTATAAATTGTATTCGAAAAATTTATCCAAAAAAGTAACATACTTAAAAAGGTAAAAATATATTTTAGTTTTAAAAAAATGCCACATATACAGAAAAATACACGTGGCAGGCGAGTGCACTCACACTCTTTGCCACATAGCGTCCATGGGGGTAATGGCTCTTAAAATGCCAAGTTGAAGGGGGTAATTAAGACCTCCAATAGTTTAAGGCTGTAACTAATAAACCGTTATCAAATTTTGGGGGGTGTTAAGGTATTTTTATTAAATGTACATATATAAACATAAGCAATACCAAATTATTTCGTACAAAAATTAACAGGTGACACCACTTAAAATAAAATCCTCACTGATCTGTTGGTTAAGCGCATATAAATGCATGGCAGCAGATGTCATGAGTTCGAATACTTGCTCGCTTATGTTTTATCATTTTGGAGACTTTATTTATTATAATATAATTTGTATTAGTGAAGCTTGAACCACTTACCTCTTAACAAAATTAAGGAGCAACAAAAATCGCTTGAGCTAGACTCCATTTGTTAGTCAAGCTGATAATAAACATAATCAAATCATTTTGGGAAAATGACATATTTAGTACTATTTCTAATGACACTATTGTTGACACATTTAAAAAAATAAAAACTCGTTGTAGAGATTTATAGTAATGTTTTGAATTTTGTATTTTTTTTTATATGAGTTATAGTAGTTATTCATTTATTCACTTCTTTATTTACCTATAAAAAAAATATGACACTACAAAAAATCTTGCGTACGCAACTGCTCGTTACATGGAGAAAGGGAAACTTTCCAGTGTGTACATATGCTGGCTGGATGACTACTTGGCCGTATATATTGTGGCGAAAGGTACTTATTCATAATATTTATATTTATGTATATCGAATATGTGTTGATTATCAAAGTAATTTTGATTACTAAAAGAAATGAGTATCAACAAATGATTCTAAAAGACATATTTTTAGTTTGGATGTAATTTGCAAGTAAAAATTGCACGGGGCGACCATCATTTAACCTATACCTATTTTTTTTAAAAAGTTTTACCTTGTACCCACTTTTTAAACAACTTCAGCCCCCTTTTTCCTCCTCCTTCTCCTCCTTCATTTTCTTCTTCTTTCTTCTGCTGTTGTTGGTGCTGCTATAAAACTTCAGTTCATGGGATGATTGCCAAATAAGTATGTTTATCAATGGAATTATTAAAAAATAAATTATAAATAATAACGTAAGTTAGTAGACAATAATTTGTGATATATTTTCACGTACGGGAGTTTTAAGGTCACACTTGGTGATTCTTTTCATGATAATTCTGTTCTTTTCACGATTATGTTTCCAAAAATTTATGATTTAGATATTGTTGGCAATCTGATTATTATTTAGTTATGTTAGAAGCTTTTTCAAAACTTTCAGCTTATATAGTGCTGAAGTTCTTCTGGTGAAATTTTTGAAAAAGCTTTATGACAAAACTAATGAATCAGAACAAAACAACTTCAGCTTATTCATGGTGAAGTTTTACAATGAACTAATAACTTCAGCATCTTCTACTGAAAGTTTTGAAAAAGCTTATCCAGGACAAAAAACTTCAGCTTATTTAGTGCTGAAGTTTTTATAAATGAACTAAATAACTTCAGCATCTTCTGCTGAAGTAAACTTCAGCACACTTTGCTACTTCAGGCCCAGGCCCGTCTACTAGAATGCTAAAGTTTTGTGTGATTGCCTTTGTTACTTCAGCCCCGTATGCTGAAGTTACGCGAAAATGTGGGTACGCTTGCAATTTTTTTGCAAAGCAGGCACAAGTTAAAACGTTACCTAAAAAGCGGGTATAGATGCAAATGCCCCAATTTACAAAGAAGGGAATTCTACCAAAGGTAGGAGAATTATATGGCTGCCCTCATAAAGTTGGGAACTGCAAAATATACAATACGGACTAGGGCAAGGTGGCGAATACCAGCAAAGATGGAACACAGAAAAGTCCAATGGCTAGATCGTCCTCCCGAATTATGGAGTGATATTGCAGAGAAAGTAGCGGAGAATGAGATCGATCGCTCGATTTGCTCTTTGTGGCGATCATCTACTCCTCCACTCTGCGAACCTCCCCTTCCTTCTTTGCCTACTCTTCCTGACCCTTTCTACCCGCAAAAACCGGAAGAAGCCCAGCTTGGTCGAAAAAACCGTCTACCTTGTCCAGATTCCGGAGGATTTATGGAACTTGTCAATAATGAAGGGATTTAAACGAAGCTTCCTCGTCAAGCTTAGTAAACCATTGTCTGGCGACAAGCTTCGCCTTTGAGACTATTCTTTCCCTTAATCCGTTCAAAAACAAAAAAAAAAATCATCTTAGTCGAGCAGTTGGAGTATTGAATTTGTGGAGTCTCCGAGTTACTGAATTATGCAAAGTGTATTCCCTACAAAAGAAAGCGGGATGAACGTGTTGCGGATAATTCACAGCACAGGCTATTGATGATGACTACCAACTCTATTATTATAAATCGGGACAGGGTGGACCGAAAGCAACAACATGGTAGGTGATTGGCATGATGTTATCGACTTCCAGGGACAATTTTGTGCCGTTGACATTGAAGGAAGGACACTTCTTTTTAACTCATCGTCTGCTGCAACAGAAATTTCACCTCCCACGGAGGATAACCCGGGCAATTTCAATAGCAGGAAACGGCTAGTGGAATCATGTGGAGAGCTGTTTACCAGAACAAAGTTGTGAATTGGAGACTGTGGTGGCTGTATACAGATTTTGACCCGAGATGTACGTATATATAAAGAGCTTTTTAAAATATATATTTGGATCCAAATATATCTAAACTCATTATCAGATATAAATAATGGATGTAGGGAGACTCCACACTAGTGGAGGAGGCAGAACTTCTGCTAAGGGGGTTCGAAAATGGAATAAGTTAACAATTAAAGAGATTGTAGCTAGTGGGATTTGAACCAATGAACCTCATAATGGTTCTGAACCCCTTGACCACTAAGCCATGCTTTTGAGCTATGTGAAGGGGATTCAAAACATAATATATAGAGGTAAAAGTCATATTCTACCTTATATACACAGTGTAATTTTTCGGCGAAGGGGGTTCGGGTGAACACCCTTGAGCCGCCCTAAATCCGCCCCTGCTCCACACAATGCCTTAATGTCCTGGATTTCGCCTTTAATTGGCAACAACGTCTGATCTTGCTATTCACTTCATGTTACTTTGCTAGTAGATGAGATGCACACAACGCAAAATGTTAACTCAAAGAGGAGTTAAACATAGGTATAAACAATGTGGAACAAAACATAAGGTTACAGAAACATCTAAGATTAAGCATCAGATTTTTGTTCAACTGTTCAAATATAGTAAAGTTTGTGCAGTGCGTTAAGTGCCAAAATAAGTAACATATATACTTAAGTCGTGAGGTTTTGAAATTTAACTTTCATAGAATTAAGTTGCATGATCAAATTATAAATTAGTGGAGTATTCAACATTAAGAATGTTCTTTTCGAGACATGGAATTTTTAGAACTTAATAATTTAGGCGGAAGGCGTGTACATGCATTTTATAATGAAACAATTACTTGATAGGATAATAGTAGTGTGTATCAGACTATCCAGGGTTGGAATATGCTGCTTGCTATCCAGCAAAGTAAACAGCAGGACTTGTGCAGAAAAAGACTGAAAAGGGCAACAACAGAGAAGGCAAAATTAAGCAATGACAATTGCTCAAAAATGCCAAGCTGATCAATGGTAGCAGCCGACAGAGTTTGGTTAGTATTTCAGGTTGTCCTCTTTAAGGACCTGATTTGTGCTGCTGATGTCCCTTCTTTCGCACACCCTTTTATCTTTTAACAGCAAAAGTTGCAGATCCGATCAAGAACAGAGAGCTTGCTCCGCATTAGAACTTCAATTGGGTGACAACCTGGTTGGTGGGTTTACCATAAACAATACCCTCGGGAACAAGCCTCTTCCTTCCACGATCTCTACAACCAACATGGCAGATCACAACGCCTTGTTTGGCTTTGTAGGTCTGGTAACATGTACAATGGGTGGGAGCTGCGATACTCAGCACTTTACTCTAAGCAAGAACCTAATCACATCATACTGCTTCTTCCTCCATACCTCAGACACACAAGTATAGCCCCCACTGAATCATTTTGGGCGCAGAGGTCTCTCCACTCATTCCTGCCTTTCTCTCCCTCTAGGTTCAGCTATCAATTAGGTATACAGCTCATTATATTTACATTTATTTTACCACTTTTTACCTAAAAATTATACACCAATACGTTTCAAGAAAAAATAATTCTTAGAATAAAAAGAGTTCCAATGACTTCTCTTAATTTGACTCAAAATATCACCTTCCACCAACGATGGGAGCTAATAGCAGCGGTTCAACATTTTCAGACTTTACTTTCACAAATAAATAAGTTCTCCCCCTAATCCTTTTTTGTGAAGATTTCCTTTACTTTTTCCGTGTAACTCCTCCTCTCACTCCCTCCCCCTCCCCCCACCTCAAAGAAATCACAGTTCCACCACTTTGGTATTATTCTCTTCTTCCTAAAAGCCGGAGTTGGACATGTGAAACCTCCATTGGATCTTTGAAGTATAAAACCTAAGCTAGCTGAAGAAAAGCTCAAGTAAGGTGCATGATGGGTACAATTGTATAAACCCCTGAACATGGTAGCAACAAGAGTATACATCTTCCACTAGAATCCGGATTGTGAGATAATGGAGAGAGGAAGGTGTGTGAGTGGCCTAGGGATGGGATTTGACTGTAATTAACTGTCAAGTGACTGATGAACTCACATTCCCGTTCTGTATGTCTGGCAAAACAACAATAACAGCTATTCAAGGAAGAGGGAAACAGTAGAGAAATATACACGGAATCGAATGACCTTATCCTGAAACGGTACTCATTACAAGGTCCTTATGCGTAGATTTTCTTCTACGCATTCCCTTAATTTTGTCAAAATCATTATCCAGCTAATGAGTATCGGCAACAAGGTGGCATATCATGCAAAAAACATGAGATCAAAAACCAATACAATTATGGAAGGGAATCTTTTACAACTAGAGCTTTCTATCTATAATGGGAACTGGCAGCTATAGTCCCACATATTTTAAGCTATGTTTCCTCAGTGCACTATACATATTTTAAGCTGATAGATGTTTCCTCACTGCACTACCCGAATGATGAGCAAAGTACTTTTGCCTGAGTAGTACATATGGGTATCCAAAAAGTGACAGCAAATGTGCAGGCTTTGAGAAGGAAAGTATTTCATACCAAACTTGGTTGTTCTCGTCCAATGCTATGGAAAAACGTTCTTCACCAGCCTGCTCAAATAAGAGGTATCACAAACAGCGTCTATTGTGTAGTTACCACAATATAAAGGAGAATGATAGTAAGATGTGATGATAAACATAAATCTTTAAAAAGAATATAAAATTATTGTTTCTAATAAACATGACAGTATGTTAGACACTATGCCCCCTTTTTTTTTTTTTTTATTTGCACCGGGTGTCCGAGTCTCTAAGAGCCCCGACTAATCCCGGGGGTGCACAGGCCCTCGGCAAGGAGTTTTCCGGAAGTGCACCACGGTTAATTCAGGTTTTACCCAGTCCGATGGCCCTCAGAAATTGTTTGCACCCAGTGGGTTTCGAACTTGAGACCTTGAAAGGGAGCAAACCCCAAGGCTCAAGTCTATTGCCACCAGGCCAATCCCTGAGGGTTTAGACACTATGCCCCCTTCACGTTAACCTTTTGCAATGGGACACTTAGCAGCATATTATTGAAACGGAATCTTAATTCCTTAATGTTTGTTTTGCAACTATAGCTAGAGCGATTATCCAGATTCAGAGTGACACGAAACTAATTATATCATAGATAAAAAACCAAAACAATCGAAAGGTATATTGCAACAGCAGACAATTGCAACTAGGAGAGTAAACTGACCAGTAAATGTCCTTGCAGAGTTCCACTGCCAAAACTAAATGAGGCCACCCCCTTTTTCAAGTTCTTATTCTCATTGACATAAACCACCTGTAAAGGCATCATAAGCCACGGGAACAACTCCTTCACACAAACACAGAACTTTGTCCCACTTTGAATTGGAGCTTTTGGATCAACAAAAGCCCAATTCAACCCAAAGTGCCTGCAAAGTTGGTTTGTTACATAATCAGAATTTTCCTTTCTATGAGCATTGATTGCATTTTAGTGTTCGTGGACATAAAGACACCTAATTGAATTTACATACCTCCAACTTTGAAGAGCAGTCTTTCCCTTCTCAAAAGTCTCGACGCCTGAACCCACTAAAACACGTGCATAATTAACAGAGAAACCATCTTTTGCAAGCTCCTTGTCTTGCTTAAGTTGAATAGCAGGTTTTTCTGTAGCTCCTCTGAATTTATTATCATAGTTAAAGGAACCAGACCTGTTACACAGATGAAATGCTCAACAATAATGTCGACAATTAAAGCAATACAAAGGGAAATAAATAACAAAAAATTCTGGGCATTCGTTACTTGTTGATACATGCTTTCTGCTCTTCATGAGATGGACGACTCCAGCAAAGAAATACCATCAGTACTTAAATGTGTAAGCAATTCACTTAATTTTCTGCTAAAGAAAAAATACGAGCATCAAAAACCTTGAAACAGGAATACAGAAAGCATTTATTTATCAACAAAATGAGAGGATGAAAAGGAACAAAGGAGATTTTGAGTATGAGATCGCCGAAAACTTACCGGATAGCGTGAGATTCCGGCACCGGTGGTGAGATGATAGTGACAGTGAGCAGATAAAACTTGGAACTGGGATTGTGACGTTGTGTTCCAGATTGGGAATTCTGATTAGGGAGATTTTTCTTTCCTAATTTTTGCGTTTTGAAACTTAAAAAGAAAAAAAAAATACAGATTACAAACAATGATTTTCTTTTCTAATTTCTTAAATCTACTACTACAATATTTATTTCTCTAGCCGTGGGAACTAATGAAACTGTTTCTTTATCCTGTCACGCTAGGGTTAAGATATGCATATCATAATTCACAGTTTTCGCTCATACCCTATATTTTCGCCCATAAAATTATTATATATATATATATATATATATATATATAAATAATACATTTTAAACCCATTAAATTAAATGAGATATGGTAGAATTGTGAATCTGAACCCATAATGTTCAAATCCTGAATTTGTCTATGCTTCACAGACTTCATTTGTGAAAATTCATTGAATTTGTTATTGTTGTACTTCTATACTTATTTGTTTCATTAGTTATCTAATAAGATTACTGTATTTGTATATTTATCGGACATGAATTCAGGTTAGTCCATGAATGTCTCCAATTTTATTCAATTGGAAATATTGTGTTCGATTTGAGAAAGTTGAAATAGCTGTTAATTTAATAGAACATTATATGTTGCAAAATCATAAAAGTGAAAACTAATTGATGAAGAAATTTGTTGAGATGGCTAATTTTACAAAAGTGACTACATACTTGTAAAGTGGCTAGTTAGTTAATTTGTTAGATAGGCTATTTTTGTTAATTCATTTCAGTTAGGATATTTTGTATATATTGACGTTACAGATGTAAGAAAGGTCGGTTGGCCAATTCTAGATTCTTCTCTCTTCTCTCTCTTCGTCAAGAAACTCTGTCTCTCTCCGACCTCTATTGTAGCTCACCTCGAGCTTGATTGAGGTGAGCACCTGAGTTTTACATGGTATCAGAGCCTGGTCATCCCACTACGATCATCTCTCTTGTTATATTACTCTCTTCAGTTAGTGGTGGGCATAAAATCCGAAACACCGAATTCCGAACCGAAACGAATTAATTTGGTGTTTCGGTATTTCGGTTTATTTCGGTACAGAAATTTTGGTATTTCGGTAATTCGGTTCGGTATACGGTAACGGGTTTTTGATATTTCGGTATATATGCCGAAATACCGAAATACGGTATTGCATTCTTACCTCCATTAGCTTTTCCACTAAAATCATTTAAAGATTTCAATGACTTCTCTACTTTAAGTTGATGATCTTTACCAGTTAGTTCTTCTATCTCATTCGAAGATGAAGCTCCTGTGCCATTATGGAGCTTCTTGAAGTAAGAATCTAAGGCTCTCAGTTGGTTCTCCTGATTGTTCAATGCAAATTTCACTGTCCAAAATATTCTTCTCTGAGAACTATGTAAAAGCCGGGATTCGAAAAGGTGAATTCTTGTCTTCTCCCTATATAACTGGTTGTGGAATGCATCCCCTGCTATGAACTCTTTCCAATAATACCATAGTGCATACCATTATATCTTTTTCAGCAAAATATTGGTTCCTTAAGGTAATGCATGGTTATTCTTGCTAGTGACCTTAGATATATTTTTATGAACTGAGAAAATGTCAACCTTTCTTGTACATAAACTTCTGCATCCAAAGAATATTTGTATCAGAACCAAATGCACTTTTATTTTGTATGATATCAACGAATTGTATGAACTACAAAGTTTATGGAAGTACACCCCACAATTTACTAAGCCTCAGTGGCTTCTCTACTTCAGAATTAGCTACTTCATTGGCATAAAAGATACTTTATCAACATGTCGAATCGTCTTCTGGTGATATTGTATTGGCTGGTTGATTATCTTTGAATAGTTGAATCAGAGATCTCTTCAAACAAAACTTGGAGATAGTAAAGATTTGGTTTAAACCGAAACCGTACTGAACCAAAATAAGAAATACCGAACCGTGCCGAAATATTTTGGTACGGTACTTGGTATACACAATTGATAAACCGAATACCGAAATACCGAACCGAAATTCTTAAATACTGAACTGAAGTACAGAATGCCCACCCCTATCTTCAGTTCATCGTTTCTTTGATTTAGCCTTATTTTTGTTCGATCTCTGAAGTCTGTTCGATTTGCCCTAATTTGAGTGCATAATCAAAGGCTTCTTCTGAAATACTAGCATAGCTAGCTTCAACTTCTCATGGTTGTAAACGATTTGAACGACATAGATACTATAGCAGTGAATGTAGGAATTCAAGGAAATTCTGGAATTGATGCGATCCTTTGTACCTACACCCGTCAGACAACCCTGGTGCTATGCTTGTGTCAATTCCTTTCAGCGAAGTTGGCTATCGATCATGGAGGCGTAGTGTATTGCGAGGACTCTCAGTCAAAAATAAACTAGGGTTCATAAATGGTGAATGCAAGCGCCCAGATCCCTAGTCGCCCACATTCCGTCAGTGGGAGTGATGTGATGATATGGTAACCTCCTGGATCCTCAATTCTCTCTCGAAAAAAATTGCGGATAGTGTTGAATACGCAAATGATGCTGTGGAGTTATGGATTGAGTTAGAGTATCGATACGAGCAAACAAATGGAGCTAGATTATATCAAATTCAGAAGGAAATCAATGATACATCCCAGGGGACCCTTGATATCACCAGCTACTACACTAAACTGAAAAAGCTTTGGGAGGAATTGAGTACTTTGAGCAAGAGATCCCAGTGCAGCTGAAACTGTACTTGTGCTGCCAAGGAAAACCTCTACAAAGCCGAACAAGATAGGCGACTAATTCAGTTCCTTATGGGTTTGAATGGGACATACACTGTGATTCGAGGAAGCATCCTGATGATGTATCCATTGCCTACTTTTGGCCCTAGCCTTTTCTTTGCTGATACAAGACGAGAAGTAGAGAGAAATCAAGCCAAATACTCCATTGTTTATCGACTCCACATCACTGAATGCCACCGGTTCTAGGTCAAATGCCTATAGGACCAATTACTCACCTAACAGTGGTAGTTACAGTGGCTATGGTAGGGGAAGACCCATGTGTGACTACTGCAAAAAGCCCGGTCACATTAAGACAAGTGTTACAAATTACATAGCTATCCTGATAATTCTGGGCACTCATGCAATCAGAATCACAATCCTAATCAAGGCTTTAATCAGGGCCAAGGTTTTAATCGAGGTCAGAATTTCAATAGAGGAAAAAGGGTGGCGGCCAATGTTCACAATGACACACCTTGTAACAAGGTAGAGGAAGCCACTGGCTTGGATGAAGATCAAAATATCAGCCTGTCAAAAGAGCAATATGGACATCATGAGCCTGTTGCAACACTTCCACGCTGGGAATGGAGCAGAACATATGAATGCTGGCAATTCCACCAATGGAGCTGTGAACTTTGCAGGTATAGTAGTCTGTACCTCCTTTATTGATTTTGGTAAATTGTCCTGCGAGTGTTTCAAAAACAAGACTGACCCCTGGATATTAGACTCAGGAGCCTCAAATCATATGACTTTTAATAAATCGCTCCTTACCAATATTGTGAAACTACCTTACCCTCTTCTAGTTGTCCTCCCAAATGGCTATAAAGTAAAGGTAATAGAAATTGCTAGAGCAACACTTGTGCCTGATATCATCTTGCATAGAGTAACGTTTATACCCTTTTTTAAATACAATCTGATTTCCATTCACTGTCTAGCCAATTTAAATCCCAAAAGTATAGTAGCCTTTACTGATCACCTTTGCATTCTGCAGGCCCCTTCAATGAAGAGGCATCTGGAGATTGGTAAGGCCCATGATAGTCAGTACTGTCTTTGTCCAAAGTGTATGAGGAACAGGTATACAACTTCTGTAGTCAATAATTCAGCTTCTTTCTTTAATGATAGGATTCACTACACACACAATTCACACTGTCATGGTCATTCATTTGTACATAGTCCAATTTCAACAAATAAGTGTGTATCCCTTCCCCTTGTAAATAGTTCAAGTCCAAGCAATAAAAATCAGAGTTCTATTTTTGTTTTGAATTCTTGTACATTACTGGTTATGATTTGAACATTTTGTTGCACAGTAGATTAGGGCATGTACCCTTTGTTAAAATGAGAGGAATCTCCTCTATCCATGTCCCCTTCCCATCGAAACAACCCTTCCTCTGTTTCATTTGTCCAATGGCTAGACAAGGGAGATTGCCATCCCTCAGAAGATCAACTTCACAACTGAAATTTTCCAATTACTCGACATAGATATATGGGGACCTTATCATATAATAATACATGATAATTACAAATATTTCCTTATAATGCTAGATGATTACAATAGGTGCACCTGGACCAACCTTCTAACTTGCAAAAGCAATACCTTACAAGTTATAAAAACATTTGTCTCCATGGTTGAGACTTAATTCAACACCAAAATCAAAACTATCAGATCTGACAATGGTTCAGAATTTACTAGTACAGAGGCAAACCTATTTTTCAATCTAAAGGTATCATTCATCAAAGGAGTTGCCCCTACACACCACAACATAATGGTATAGTAGAAAGAAAACATAAATACCTCTTGGAAACTGCAAGAGCCTTTTTATTCCAATCAAAATTGCCTGTGAAGTTCTGGGGTGAATGTGTTTTGTGTGCAACCTACATCATAAATAGACTACCCTCTTCTCATAGTCACCCTAAGTCCCCATTTGAACTACTTTACAAAAGAAAACCAACATACTCCCACATGAAAAGTTTTGGGTGTCTGTGTTATCCTTCTGTGCCTAAGGTGCATAGGGACAAATTTGAACCTAGAACATCACCACATGTATTCATTGGTTATCCCTGTGGAGTCAAAGGGTACAAGGTCCTAAGTCTTGCCAGTAAAAAGATACATATCTCCAGGGATGTTGTCTTCATTGAAAGTGTATTTCCATTTACTCTAACATCTAAAACTGCATATTTCCCCTCTGACTTCAACAATCCTATTCCCTTCATTGATTATTCTCCTCAGAATGATATACATCTCTATGTTAGTGATAATGGCACAAGTATTGCACACAACCAACCTTCAAAACATGATATTCCTTTAACACCTACCAGACCTTCCATGTCATCTAAACATTCTCCCTCCTTACCAAAATTTGACACACCACAATCTTCAAACCACAACACATCACCTGTTGTGGATCAACCAGACCAGACCTCCATTACCCTAAGGAAATCACATAGACCTCTCAAAATACCGCTATATTTACAAGATTACCTACACTCACTTCCAAAATTAAAGTCAACATCCCCTGCTAATCACTGTAACTCAGCTACACCATTCTTTCTTAATGTTGCATTTTCCAAGAGTCATCATATTTCTCCTGATACTCTGATTCCAAAAAGTCAAAGTCTTGTAAGGGATATTTGTAGTGATAGTGAACCTTTATCATATGAGGAGCCAGCTACGAATCTTGCCTGGCAATCAGCTATGAACCAAGAATTTGAAGCACTATATACCAACCATACTTGGGACCTAGTTCCCCTACCTAATGGGAAGAATACAATAGGATGTAAATGGGTATATAAAATAAAACACAAAGCATATGAGAGTGTAGAAAGACTCAAAGCTAGGTTAGTTGTGAAAGGGTATACTCAACAAGCAGGTATTGACTATGCAGAGACATTCTCTCCTGTAGTTAAGATGACTATTGTGAGGTCTCTGATAGTTGTTGCTGTGAACAAAGGGTGGCACATGTCCCAATTGGATGTGAATAATGCCTTCCTACATGGTGACCTAAATGAAGAAGTCTACATGGAGGTTCCTCAAGGCCTGGCAGTAGACAACTCAGAGTTGGTTTGCAACTCAACAAGTCACTTTATGGGCTGAAACAAGCCAGTAGGCAATGGTATGCCAAGCTCACCGAAGCCTTATGTTCAAGGGGTTATGCACACTTATGTATGACTACTATTTATTTTACAAGAAAACTGAAAACTCAACTGTATATATAGCAGTGTATGTAGATGACATTGTGGTGACAGGCATTGACACAATAGAGATTGAAGAATTGAAAACTTTCCTGAATGACAGCTTCAAGATAAAAGATTTGGGTAGGTTACACTATTTTCTGGGACTAGAAGTTCTTTACAAAGCTGATGGTGTGATAATATCTCGGAGGAAGTTCACTCTTGACTTTCTCAAAGAATATCAGTGCATGGATCACAATAGCTTTGCTTCACCACTGGATCCAACAATCAAACTCAGAGCAAAGGAAGGAGAGGTTGTGACTGATCCTACCTACTATAGAAAATTAGTAGGAAAGCTTAACTTCCTCACAAACACTAGATTGGATATAGCCTACAATGAACAGAATCTGAGCCAGTTCATGGATGACCCTAGACAACCTCACTTGTAAGCAGTTTTTCATCTTCTTAGATATTTGAAGGGGGACCCAACTCTGGGAATTTTCCTATCCAAGGATGCAGATTATACTATCAAGGCCTACTATGATTCTGACTGGGCTGCATGCCCAGATTCCCGGAAATCTGTGAGTGGGTACCTTATACTCCTAGGAAGCAGCCCTGTCAGCTGGAAATCGAAGAAGCAAGACACCATTTCATTGTCCTCTGCAGAAGCTGAGTATAGAGCTCTAAGGAAGGTAGTGGGGGAATTGGTGGCTTAGTGGGCTGCTTGAGGAGCTCACAGTTCCTTTCCCTAAACCCATTACAGTATTTTGTGACAACCAATCTGCCATGCACATAGCAAGAAACCCAGTGTCCCATGAAAGAACCAAACACATAGAGGTGGACTGTCACTTTGTCAGAAGCAAGCTACAAGAAGGGCTGATTTCATTGCAATATGTGGGAACTACAGACCAACTTGCAGATGTTTTAACTAAAGCATTAACGGGAGTCAAGCATCCAACAGTTTTGTACAAGTTGGCAGTGTTTGCTACACCACCAACTTGAGGGGGGTGTTGAGATGGCTAATTATGCAAAAGTGACTACATACTTGTAAAGTGGCTAGTTAGTTAATTTGTTAGATAGGCTATTTTTGTTAATTCATTTTAGTTAGGATATTTTGTATATATTGATGCTACAGATGTAAGAAAGGTCGGTTGGCCCATTCTAGATTCTTCTCTCTTCTCTCTCTTCATCATGCAAGCTCTATCTCTTAAGGGAAAGTAAAGTAAAAATTGCACGGGGCGCCCTATTTCGGCGCTCCTTTTTAACCTGTAGCCGCTTTGTCTTTCTGTTTGCACCCGTACCCACTTTTTAAAAAACTTCAGCTTCCCTTTCTCCTCCCCTTCTCCTTCTTCATTTTCTCATTGTCTGGAAACACAACTCCGTGAGGACTGAGGAATGATATAGTCATACCATTGATCAGAAAAAGGCACCAATTTTTATCCAACAAAAAAACAGCAACACGAAAATCAAATATGTTGTAATATAGATAAAACATAGAAACCGTAAAGAAAATGGAGAAACTGATCATCAGCGATCAGAGATTCAAATGTTAAAAAAAAAAGTTTTCGAAAACGAAAAAACATAACAACAAAGCATTTATTTTGCAATAAAAACAGAACGCAAAATCGGATGCATTAGATGATCACAATACAGTTAATTAGATGTAACTGTATCTTCTTGGTGTCCTGAGCTGAAGTTAATTAGACAAAAACTTCAGCTCTATAGCTGAAGTTTTTCAGTTACAACACAAAAACTTCAGCTCTAGAGCTAAGTTTTCTAGTTACAACATAGAAACTTCAGCTCTAGAGCTGAAGTTTTCCGGTTACTAAACAAAAACTTATAAAATAAAACTTCAGCTCTAGAGCTGAAGTTCGCGAGTTACAAAACAAAAACTTCAGCTCTAGAGCTGAAGTTCAGGCCCGACTACTAAAATGCTGAAGTTTTGTGTGATTGCCTTTGCTACTTCAGCCCCGTGTGCTGAAGTTATGCGAAAAAGCGGGTACGCTTGCAATTTTTTTTGCAAAGCGGGCACAGGTTAAAATGTGGCACAAAAAGTGGGTATAGATGCAAATGCCCCGAAAGTAAAGACTTTAAAAAAAGTACTCCTAGCATTTAATGTATGGCTTTTTATGGAGTAACATTTATTCAGTCAATATTCTGTAAAAATTATCAAATCACCGTTTTCTTAGCTAGCGTTTGGCCATAGATCCCAAATTTATTTTGAAAAATCTGATTTGGGTAAGTTTGGTTTGAAGATGAAAATGTGTTTGGACATACGATTTCAAAACATATTTTTCAACTTTATTTTGGGAAAACATGTTTATAATTCCCAAGTTTTGGAAATTTGGAGCTGAATTTGAGATTTCAAATATGTGATTTGAGTTTTGGCCAAAATGTGGGTCAAATTTATGGCCAAACATGAGATTTGAAAATAAATTTCAAATTAAATTTGGGAAAATGTATGGCCAAACAGGGGCTTAGTGTTGTAGGAAAAAAGGGAATACCGTGTTTGCAGAAACATAGGAAAAGAGGATATCTTTTGCAGAAACGAAAGAAACCTCATGCGTACAGTCTCTACTGATCTTTTCTAGCTTTTTATTGTATAGTGTATACTCCTTTTCCGTGTAAATAACGTATAAAAAGGTTTCCTTGACATTTTAATTTATTCTAACATTAGGAAGTCCAATCTATATCACATGAACTTTATTTTCGGTCAATATGATGTGGCGTATTTGTTACGTATAAGATGTTTTCTTATTTGAGTTATAGTACTTGACAATGAAGCCAATTTTGTGGACACTGATAATGTTTGGCAATTTCCATCCTCCAGAAACAAATGTCACCCATTGGTCTTCATGGGATGTAAGAAGTAAGGAACCCCTTGCTTTCTATTTACTCCTTTATGTCCCAAAATCAAATAATTTATAAAAAAAGTTGCTCAAACCATTACGTGCTTTCTGCTATTAGTATGTATATGTATTAATGCTAACCAATATTTCATATACACAACAGTGCACTAACTGGCGGCTTTCCAAAAAGTTTCATTTCCCACCATGCCAATGTAATGGAAACCTTTTATAAATGATGAAAAATATGAGAATTTACATTCATTAGAAATTTTTTACTAAAGGTGGGTCATCTATTTACTTACTGAGCTTAATTATGCATACAAGCTTCTACAGATATCCATTTCAATTTCTTGAATTATTCAGCAACTCTGGATACTACACAGATTTCAAATCATGAGAAGAACGTAATGCCACAAAAATCTCAAAAAAAAAAAAAAAAAAAAAAAAAGACAGAAGAAGTGAGGAAGAGATTGAGGAAAGGAAGAGGAAAGAAGAGAGGAAACCAAATAGGAGTAGCAGAGAGGAAGAAAAGATGACTGATGAGTGTAAGGAATTTGTTAGTAAGGGGTATTGTTGGAATTAGGAAATATTATAAGGGATAAAAAGGTAAAATTATTGGTCAAAAAGTACCCCCAACTTATTATTTTTTTTTGCTTATTTTGGACCTTTTGGCTTAAAACCACTTTTTTTGACTTTACCAAACACCCAAATAAGTTAAAAAGACCCATCCAAACACCCTCTAAAACCACATACCATCACCCAATTTTCTGATGCTAACTCCATTGTTAAGCAAATCTTTAGGCTCATTTCTTGGCATATCACCAACTTTTTCCTGAAGATGAATGAGAGGACCAAGAGGAAATCTCAGCTGTATTCTTGGCCCATATGGGCTGACCTTCCTGATGAGCTACTTGTCAAGATTTGCAAATGCCTCAAATACTCATTTCAAGTTGGCCATTTTCGTGCTGTTTGTACCTCTTGGAGATCCGCAGTTCCACGTCCCCCTTGTAAGAAACCCTCGACTGGATCTGCAGCAATCACGACTGAACCCTCTAAGAAACCTCATAGAAAATACATCAGAAGATTGGTTTACCGGCTTGAACTTCAACAACTTCCACCTTCATCTTCATCTTCATCTTCATCTTCATCTTCATCATCACCACCCACCAGCTATTTGATAGCCGTAGAGGAACACTTTGGCGAAGACAGCCAAAGCCAACGTCTTCGCCTCTTGAACCCAATCACTGGAACTCCTATATCCTCAACACCATCAAATTTCCCTAAAGAGATTCATTTGAACAAATTCCGTGTCTCTGTACTGCATAAATCTAACCTCTTTTGGCACAATAACGATTATCGTTCCAATAAAGCTGTTTGTCTTTCTGCACGCAGCCGAACCTGCAATGGACGAAATGGAAAAGCGGTTGCTATTCTTACCAAGAGCGGGAAATTGTGTTTATTCACACGTGAACCAAGAGTGAATGTAGTATTAAATGAATTGATGGACCGTCCTCTTCCAAACCACAATCTGGACAAGCCTGTTTATCACGACGTGGTGAAGTACAAGGACAAATGGTGCGCTGTTGACCAATACGGTTGTGGGGTTATAGTTGATTCTTCTTTGAACGTGACCCTAGTTACAAATCCTCTGTTTCTCCCAACCAGGGATGATTTTTTTGGTAACCACAAGTCATACTTGGTGAGGTCATCAAGGGATACAGATCTATTTCTAGTGGACAGATACTTGGATAAATCCTCGGTGCAAACAAAATACGAACAATATTGTACATCTGATGTTACAAAGGAAGCAGTTTATGACATGGCAGTTAGATTCAGAGTGTATAAACTTGATGAGGAGGAGCATAGTTGGAGGAAGGTTACAAGCTTGGATGACCAAGTCATATGTAGGAGATGATGCATCTTTTTGGTCTTACTGTGTGTCTGCTAAAGATTTTCCAGGATGTAGAGGAAATATGATTTTCTTCACAGATCAATTCAGGAGAGCTGAGAATGGAGATTTTCATGATTTTTGGGATGAGCTAAAACATGAGAATGGCTACTCACTTGGGGGATTTCATATGGAGGATGCATTTCTTGGGCCAATGGCATGTTTCCCTGGTTACACTGATTTTTTCTGGCCACCTCCTAATTGGCTCAGCTGAGATTTCCTCTTCTAGCGCCATGGTTAAATTCTACTCTTATGATCCATTTTATGTGTTAGATTGAATCTTGAAAAGTGAAAAATATGTTGTATGTTCAGAGCACTACTTATGCAATTGTCTAGACAAAACTCATTCTAGTTTAATTGAGTATTTAATGCGTTTTAGTCTCATAATTAGCAAGCTCTGAGGTCCAATAGAGTAAAGTATATGAACTGAGATTAAGGGCCTCGAGCATTGAGTTGTTACTTGAATCTTGATAGTTGCTACGTTATAGAAGTGTATTTTCTCAACATGTTACGTTTCTGCTCTTCCCATTTGCAATTTTGACCATTGGCCTCCCATACCCAAAAGAAAGTTAAACCAGGGAAAAAGGTTCGGCCCTAACTGATCTATAAAACAAGGTTTTGGTTTAGCTCCTCTGCATCTGCTCGCATAATTAAAGGAACCAGACCTGTCCTGAACAAAAATGAGAACAGTGATTTCCACATTATAGACAACAACAACAAACTCAGTGTAATCCCATAAGTAGGATCTGAGAAGATTGGTGTATACGCAGACCTTATCCCTACATTGAAAAGGTAGAGAATTCCACCTTACAGACCAAAAAATGAGAACTAGCTTGCATTTCAAATGCATTTGTGGTTTAACCCAACCACTTAGGGATCGTTGGGATAAAAATTTAGTATCGCCTTATTCCTTGTTTGGTTACTAATTTTGGGATAATTTATTCCAGAATTAAAAATAGTACCGGAATAATTTATACATGCACGAGGAGGAATACTAGTTCCAGGATAAAATAGTAAAATTGACAATCTCATGATTAATACAACATACCAAACATTTAATAGAAATAATATCAGGATAAGTAATCCCAACACATCTAATCCCAGCATAACTAATCACGTGATATCTTTGTCTTCAAACCAGACACCCTTACTTTCTTGTTTAGTTTTCTTGAAAACGAAGTGATACTCTTCCCTCATAAAGAAAATCAGATGGGATGGGTCATTGGACAAGAATGCAGAGTATGAATGGACTTTCACAAAAAAGCTAGTGTTAAGCTGCAGGCTTCGAAAGTTTCATGTCTCTATTCCTTCTTTGCATAATGCTTAGTGCTTTAATGCCCCAGAATAAGAGTGGACGAAAAGCGTGTCCTATCCCTAATCCAACTCCATTCTTTTACTTCTCTCACCAAACTCATTAGTGTTCACATGTTTCTAACTATTATAATACCTATAAGAAACAAACTAAAATTCAAAGCTAGTATACTAAGAAGAACTAAGATACTCTAAACTTTCACAAAATGTTACTCTCGTGCTACTTGTACGACTTGGAGATCCGCAGCTCCATCCCGGAAGAGTAGGTTCACAACTATATCAAATTCTCCAACTAGACATTTTGAAGCATATAGCAATCAATTTCAATCCGAAAGGACATTAGTTTACTTTTAATCTAGTAGAAGATGAATTTATTTCAACACCTTTTCGACAATAATCAAAGCTCTTAATAATATGTGTATATATATGACTGGCATATATCATTTCGATTAAGGTCTGAATAAAAAAAATTATCTTCTGTTTACAACTCGAAACTATGCTTCCATAGCTTTCCCCACATTTTCACAAAAATTTAACATATTTGACGTGTTTTATATTGCACGATTCTTTCTTCGTTTTGTATGACGCCACAGATCCACCCACAAATGTAGCTATCCAATCCACCCACCTAGCCAGAATAAGACATTTGATCTGCTAATCATGGGACGAGGTGAAGCACTAGATACGCTTGAATAAATTAATGTCTAGTCTTTTGGTCCTTGTGTGTTTACAATGTACTAGTAATTTTATTTTGTTAATCAGCCACATCACAAATATTCTTTCTCCATTAAGAATATTCATCTTGGATAAGAGAACACCCCAGACCCGAATTACAAATCACAAAATATGCAGCAGGATTTTCATCTTGGAAATCATCAATACTTTCTTAGTTGATGACTCTATCATCCTTCTTTCCTCTATATAACAAGGGGAAAAACAAAAAACAAAGGGCTTGCTAGTTGCTAACCTATACCTAATTTTGTAGTATATACAGACAAAACAAAGGCTCCTAAAGTGGTTGGAAAGAAGAAAAAAACAAAAGGTTTCTACATATCCAAACTATGAAAACAAAACGAGTGCAAAGGCACTATTCGTCTATGAGATGCATCTCATAGAGTACATTGACACAGGAGAGTCTACTGCAGGCGCACCATAGACCCTCGCATGATCACTCTCCAAACCATAATCCATCATCGGACGGTACTCAAGATCTTCATCATGATCAAACACAAATTCAGGCATCTCAATCTCATTCCTCCTTACATGTTCCCACAGATAGTCCACCCTGTTCACATACCTCAATTTCCCATACAACCTGCACAAACACCCAATCAAAACCCGGACCATATCCATTTTCTAAGTAATCAAAAATTGATTTTTTTCTGAATTAAAAAATTAAGATGCGCCTAATTCATATGAATTGACAATCTTACCCTCCGCTGAAGATGAAGCGACCAAAAGTGGCAAGGAAGAGCCTAGCTTGAAGGCCAGGGTGAAGAAAGTAAACAGCCTCCAGATTCTCTCGGACTTTAACCGGAATCGCATCGTAGAAGGATCGTAAAGCTGATACTCCAGGAAAGTTCTCGCTTTTCTCCACATCGGTGTGAACATACACCACGGCAAACGGCCGTTTCTCAAGTTCTGGAAAGATCTTCTCCGTTAAATACTTCTTCACCACTTCAACACTCAGATTCCTAGCTGATTAGCCCCAAAACAAAAACAAAATCGATATTTTAGTCCAAAAATTCAACAGGAAAAATCAGGAAAATGAAATATAAAGGATCTTTAAAATTTATGTACCAGGAAAGAATTTGCCGATGATGCGCAAGGTTTTCCGGCCACGTTTATCTCTGCCTTGGATCTTGAAGATTTCGAGTTTCTCAATAAGCTGTTCTTGTTCAACTTCTGAAAACATGGTTATCGAATTTCGGATAACTTGCAAAACGCAACGTCAAGATGAGGAGGAAGCTGAAGGAGAAAATTAAGGCTTTATATAGTGATGACGAGGAAGAAGAAGATGGGCGGTGGCTTTAAAGGGAAGGTAAAGAGAAATGTTATCCATTTTGGAGGGGTGGGAGGAGAGGAATATTAGGGGAATATTCGTAAGAATCTTCGGTTTTGAAGGTGGGACCTAATTTGTTTCCTTGTGTTATTACTAAGACACTCCCCCGTGATCTACTGGATCACTCGTGGGACCCTTTCTTTTGGATCAAGGATCAATTATATGAGCCTTCATCTTTACTTTCACAGCAGATCTGGACCCGATATATTATCTTTCTTCTTTTTCTTTTCTTTTTCTTTTACCCCTACATAGCCTTAAAAAAATAAAATAATAATAAGATAGCCAGGAGAATGTTTTACCTGCCAGTAGCCAGCTAGCCTTGTTTGGTTAGACTTATCATAATAGGAGAAAATTAATACTAATTCTGTATTATTTGGTTAATACAGTATCTGATTGATATTCTTAATTCTAGTATTAATAATCCTAGTATTATCAGTGCAACAATTCTCATATTATCTTATATTGAATTTGATATGAAATAATAATGCACACGCATGTATTTGTCAAATAACATAAAAATTAGACATCGCTTAAGATAGGAGAAAGAAGAGTGTATTGTTTGACCCAAAAAACATAAACTTTTGGTTAAACTATTTAATTTTATGTGATGTTGTGTTAAACTTGGTTAATGATAATATCTCTAGATTTAGAACTTGTCAGTGTGGATAACATAAGATAAAGTAAGTGGAAAACTAAAAGAAATGCACTTCTAATATTCCAAAAGATGTGAGTAATTGTAACGACCCGGCCGGTCGTTTTTGGAATTTACGCCCCGATCCCCTATTAACTGTTTCCCCTAAGTTTATTTCTGCTATTTCGATTTGCCGGGATATTCGATTTTGAGTTCGGAGAGTTTTGGGACACTTAGTCCCTAAATGAGAGCTTAAGTGTTGGAAAGTTGACCGTAGTCGGAACAGTGTGAAGACGTTTTTGAAATGGAAATCCGATGGTTCTGTTAGCTCCGTTAGGTGATTAGGGTTTAGGCGCGTGTTCGGATTGTGTTTTGGAGGTCCGTAGCTAATTTAGGCTTGAAATGCCGAAAGGTCGAATTTTGAAGTTTCCGGTTCGATAGTGAGATTTTGATCCGAGTGTCGGAATGGAATTTCGAGAGTTGCAGTAGTTCTGTTGTGTCATTTGGGATGTGTGTGCAAAATTTCAGGTCATTCGGACGTGGTTTGGTTGGATTTTTGATCAAAAGCGGAATTCGAAAGATTTTAGAAACTTAGGCTTGAATCCGATGTGTTTTGGTTATTTTGATGTTGTTTGGAGTGTTTTGAAGATTGGTACAAGTTTGAAAAAGGTTTTAGGATATGTTGATGCATTTGGTTGAGGTCCCGGGGGCCTCGGGATGAATTCGGATGGTTAACGGAGGAAATTTTGGAGTTGAAGTTGTGCAACAGCTGTTCTTCTGGTATTTTCGCATCTGCGGTCTGGGAACCGCACATGCGGAGCCGCAGAAGCGGCGTAGAGGGCCGCATAAGTGAAATTGGGATTTTTCTTCAGGTTCCGCAGATGCGGAAGAATAACCGCAGAAGCGGAGGCACATCTGCGGAAGGGCAACCGCAGATGCGGTTTCTGGCCACTTTAATGAAAGTCGCAGATGCGACTAAGACTCCGCAGAAGCGGGACCGCAGGTGCGGTCCCAGGGCCGCAAATGCGGAAATCGCTGGGCAGAACCTATATTTTCTTGCCTTCGCGAAATTTAGTCATTTTCACCTCTTTGCAAACGGGAAGAAGCTTTTGGAGCATTTTTCAAGAGGGATTTTCAGAGGAGTCCATTGGGGTAAGGTCTTTGGTCCCAAAACTCGTTATTATAGTGATTTTTATCATCCTAAGCATGAAAAATTAAGGAAAATCAGTGGTAATTGTGGGATTTAGGGCTTGGGATTAAGAGACTTTGAAATGAGAATTTGAGGGGTCATTTGGGCTCCGATTTCAGTGTTCTTGGTATGTATGAACTCGTGAGAGTACGAGAATTCCAAAAATGTAAATTTTACCCGATTCCGAGATGTGTGCCTGAGGGGCGTTTTGGTCATTTTACCTAATTTCGCATATTAGCTTAGAATTTAATTATAGAATCAGTTACTTGAAGTGTTATTTACATTATGAAACTTAATTGAATAGATTTGGGCCATTTGGAGTCGGATACTCGTGGCAAAGGCGTGGTTTCGGGTTGACTTGCACTTGTTCGAGGTAAGTGGCTTATCTAACCTTGTGTGGGGGACTTTTCCCCTTAGGATTAATATTGTGGTAATTGAAATGCCTCGTACGTGAGGTGACGAGCGCGTACTTGTGCAAAACTATTGGAAATCCGGTTTTTCATTAAAAATAGCCTTGAATTGTGTTCTTCCTTTTCTTGCTTACACTGTTTGGGAATTAAACCTGTTGTAGCCTAGAGAAGCATACCTACCTGACTTAATTGCTCTATTTGCCTTAACTGCCTTAATTGTATTACGTGAACCATGCTAGGTTAGGATTACCTGCTTCCTATTTGATATGAAATTGATTGAATTGAAATTTTCGCTGTTGCTGCGTATTTACTTTGGGACTACGGAACGGTATTCTGGGAGATCCCCCTGCACTTTTACTTTGGGACTACAGGACGGTATCCCGGGAGCTCCCCTGTATGTTTACTTTGGGACTGTGAAATTGCATTCCGGGAGATCCCCCTGCACATTTATGAGTTGGACTACGGACTGTACCCGGGAGATCCACTGGCTATGACATTTATATTTGGGGACTACAGGACGGTATCCTGGGAGATCCCCGGTTGTTATCTCGGAGCTGAGTTGTGTTCTTTTACTGTGTTTTACTTGCCTTGTAATAGTTGTTGCCGTCCTTCATATCTTGTGTTATTTATTCACCCTATTATTTCACACTGTTAAACCTTATATCTTATTTAACCTCAGTAGGGCCCTGACCTTCCTCGTCACTACCCAACCGAGGTTAGGCTTGGCACTTACTGAGTACCGCTGTGGTGCATTCATGCCCTTCCTGCGCATGTTTTTCATGTGCAGATCCAGGTATCTCTACTCAGGCTTACCATTCTTGAGGCGAGGCGATTCTACGGGACTTCAAGGTATATCTGCCGCGTCCGCAGACCGAGGAGTCTCTTCTATTCCTGCTTTTAGTACTTAGCCCTTCTGTACTTTCTGTTATTGTTAGACATTCTGGAGATTAGAGCTATGTAGTGTTATCACAGCTTGTGGATCCGTGAGTGTTGACATGTAATTTTTGACCCTCCCCGAAATTTTACCCATTTTAGCATGTAAATATTTAGTTTAGGCCTAATATCGCCATTTCAACTAATTTTTACTATTTTACTTTATTTTATTACAAGAAAATGAAAAATTACAAAAAATAGGTTTATTAATATTTTATAGTCATTTTTAATCTTAAAAAAAAATTACCAAAATAGTACCCTATCTTTATTCTTATAATCTTGAAAACACAAAAAAAAATAGTTTTATGTTTTATAGTTTAGTTCAATTAATTAAAATTAGTCTTATATTTTTATATTATAATTGTACATAATTTTAGAAGAAAGAATTAGTTTTAGGTTGGTTTATCCCGTTTTTATAAATCTTATAGTCCATATTTTAGTCTTTGGCCCAAAATCCCTAGCCCATAGTTCCTAGGCCCATACCCCTAACCTAATCCCTACCCTATATAATACTACCTACACCACAAACACACGATATACAACAATGAACGCCTAAAGACCTGGACAAAAAGAAGCAGCAGCTTCTTCTTCAAAAACGCAAGACCTGGAGCTCATCTCCTCCAAGAGAACCCTAAAGAACGCCAAAAGCTGGAGAGCGCCGCAATACAAAGAATAGACGACCCGTCCCTCCCATCCGTTCTGCTACATCTCCACCCCTTTTTCCACTTACCAAACACTTTCACCACCATTAATCCAAAAGCTAAATTAGATGTAAGGTTTCGTTTGTTTTGATTTGAACAAAAACAATTGATTCAGCAAAGATTTGAGGTATTCCTCTAAGTTCTGTTCTAAAAATAGAGTCAGAGGGAGTACATGTTTGATTTGAAGGACTCACAGCGTCCAAATTTGCCGTCGAGTTCGAGTTTGGGGTTCGAGCTGTCTGTTTGCAAATCCGAGGTGCCGATTCGAGGTCCGCTATTGAATTTTGTCGCAATCCCGTCGAGTTTTTGTTAAACGTTTGCAGATTTCATTTGGAAAAATATATCTAAGGTGCATTTCTTCTATCCCACTCTGCTTCAAATGGTACTCTGATTATTAGATTTTCCAACTTCATTAAAGTTCTTTAGTTCCGTCCGCTTCATGTATCTCCTACTGTTTTCTTTAATTTCAGTTCTCGTACTTGCATTTGGTACGTTTGGTATCTTGAGTTCAGTAATTTGTGCTGTTAATGAAGACTGTTTTTAGATTGATTTTATTTGGCTTTTTAATTCTGAAGACGAGTTGTTCTTGATCTTCCAATTTTCTAAGTGTCAAAGTTATCCATGTGAGTCTCGATGTTGGACAGTAGCTTCATTTCTCCTTCAAATTCTTTATAGTTTTCTGGATCGGATTTTGCACCATTTTCGTGTACTGCGCCTGATTGTTGAGTCTGATTGCTGTAGAATTGTATGGTCGTTTATTGAAAACTCGTGAGTTTCATCTCATATAGTGGCCAGCCTGATTTCTATGATGTGGTGGAATTAATGGATTAACCCTTTCCTTGTTTTTAAATAATAAATTTGATGAACCGTCTGTCAAGGGGAAATTGTTGACTCCTTTCCTATTTTTGTTACTATTATAAGTTTCCTTTTGCACCAACTCTACTTCATGATTACTTTATTTGTTAAACCTCTTGTCTAATGCCACTAGTCTTTCAAATTAGACCATTGAATTAATGGTATATTATGTGAATGGGAGCTTAGGACTAGGAGGTTCAGTTTCATTTTCTCTGGTGGGCGTTGATGCTCTAGTAAGTAGTAGTTGTTTATGAAGC